CGGGAAACTTCCACCTCTGATCACTCGGGCACTAATCTATACAATTTCTTAGACGGAATCTTACATCGTATTAACTCTGTGAATCCATGATAACAGTGTTAACAACCTCCTTAATCTTCAGTAACTTGAAACACAGGAGAAAAAAGCATAATGAGAATTTTCATAATTTTTACTCTTCGACATAAAAATTGTTAATATTAAAGGAATAATCTGAGGGACCCTTGCCCTTAATAGTACTCGAATGTTTATTACTGCGTTGACAACAACCATCTATCGATATAATAAGCAAATGTTGGCTGATGATCATTTGCTGTTAGGGGATTTTGTGCCAGAAGGAATAAGTCAGGGATAGAGGATTTTTCCTCTAGCCTCTGCGTCCAGACCGGCTCTGTGGCCCACCCAGCCTCCTATCCAATAGGTACTGGGATCCTTTCCCGGGGGTAAAGCCCGGCCGGGGAGTGACGCTGACCACTCACCCCCATCTAGTGCCGAGGTTAAGAACAAGTAGGAGCTATACCACCTCTCCCCACAAATGCCTATATTTTTAAGACTGTATGTTCACTTTTTTACCATCGTTGGCGATTTGCGTGCTTTCTGAATTTATTGGATTAGCCGAACATTATCTAACTATGTGCGGACTGAGGTGACTTGTCTGTTTTGACACTAAAATAATCGCCAGATCATAGACCCGCGTTACAAAGGGCATAATTATTATTATTTTTATCTAATGTAAAGTTTCTAAGACATGCAGACAGCTGTTATCACGGGCACAGATAATGAATGTGTGCTTGTGTCGAAACATGCGTTTCGCAGTTCGATGAACTGTAAGCGAAGTGATTGCAGATCAAATCCCGGTCTCTTATCCTTAAATACATTCTAATAGTCTTGTGGTTCTTTTATGGCACCGTATCGAGTAGGCAGCTGGTACACTGGTCGTTTTGTCAACTAAACTGTGATTTCAATTTATTCTAAGAATATCGCGAATTCATTATGCAGTAATAATTTTTGTCCTTTTTTACATGTAAATAGCTGTCTATAGCTTGCATTATATAGCGCCAAATGTTTGGATGCTTAATGATAAATTAATTGAAAAGGACGAGAGAAAGAAGGTGCCGTGGCATAATTAAAGGTAGGTAATATTCCTGACAATTGTGTGGAGGGACTAAGGAAAACCACAGAAAACCTCGAAAATTGTATCTCGTCTCAGAGTCGACATTTGAACCCCACACCTCCGCAATACTAGGCAAGAGTAGTAGCCACTGGACAGTGACGTTCGCGTTTGAAGTATGGAAACCTGCCTGGATCTGTCAAAAATTTTCCACGGTAACGTGGCTAGATGGCAGGGCGCGTTTATTTTACCGATTTTCTGAAACACTCAGATAAATGTGCAATGTTTATGTGAGCTGTGCGTCACGAGTACAGTGGAGACGGTGTTCTGCCCTTGGCCTCCTCTGTTGTAGAAGTTCTAATAATCTATCCAAACACGCGATACGCTACTCTGTGCAACGTATAAATATATTAGATTTGTTCATGACTTCTTCTTAACGGCTTTGTTTCCACTGCAGGTTTTATACAGGGTGAGTCAGAAGTATGTGCGTGTTCCAGGATAAAAATAATAAAAAATGTCCCTAAGAACATGAGGTTGCAAATACACCTTTTTCAAAATAATAGCCAAAAATAATTTTCAATGTGTGCCTTTATTGCCAAGTATAAGGACAGGGATGTTTCTTTACAACAGATGCTCAAAGGTTGCTCCTCCATTCTCCACACATGCCCGAGCACGACGTACACAAGACTGTGAATCCGTTTGTAACTCCAGGGTTTTCTCCAATCATCTGGCATGCATTCTGCACACGTTCCCATAGGTCGTCATCATTGTTTATGGGTGTTGATTAACGACGGACTTCAAGTGACCCCCACAGATAAAAGCACAATGGTATCAGGTCCGGTGACCTCGGTGGCCATGCTACTGGGCCACCTCGTCCAATCCATCGCTGAGGGTACTGCTCAATGAGATGATATCTGACGAGATGGGAGAAGTGTTCTGGGGCACCATCATACATAAACCACATTTGTCTTCTTGTATTCAGTGGTACATCTTCAGGGAGACGTGGCAAGTGTCTTCTTAAGAATCACCGATGTGAAGGTCCTCTTAGACGCGATGGAAGCACGTGTGGACCAATGAGTATGTCGCCAACAATTCCTGACCAAACGTTAATTGAAAATCTTTGCTTTTACATAAAGTCATTTATTGAAACTTGTTTTTGGCTATTATTTCGAAAATGAAACATTTGCGTCCCCATGTTTATAGAAACATTTTTTCTGATCTTTGATTCTGCAACACGCACACGAAGTTTGTAAACATACTTCTGACTCACTCTGTATATTTTATAATATTTGAGTATGATCATGTGTGGTGAACAGCGAGGGTGTGGAAGGAGGAGATCGTGGTGTGTCTCTAAATTTATTTCGAGATGGTAAGGAGACAGTTCAGCGCGGATAGTTAGTTAGTGGGTAATTTGACAGGTACTCTAAGACGATTCCTTCCTAACACAAAGTCTAGACGTGAGGTCTAATCTTACAAAGTGGGATGCAAACTGTGAGCCGATGTGGATGCGCCAGGGTAGTTCCACATGACGGGTCAGACGGGTGACAGCGGTACAGTGCAATCCTGTTCGGACGGCCCTTGTTTCGAAGAACAGGTGGTACCGGGTTAGAGACACGGTGGCTCCCATTTTTTTAAAAGTAAGTCGAAATTACGACCGCTTCTATCCACATTCTTACATATTCACCATTAGTGATTATCTTTCTTTGTCATTCGCTTTATAATGAGTATAACCTATTAATTTGTAACAACATCATTAAAAAACGTAAGAATCGATTAATTCGAGACCTGAGATGATTTGTTATTATCTCCAAGTACATGGCTCGGTAACATGAGATGTTATATCTTACAGTAGAGGGTTCAAATCCAGCTTTAGTGTGATTTTTATTATTGTAGTCATCACCAAATAAAGCCATTTGTGGGATCTGCCACGCGCGATTTAAGAATTCTGGGAAACCACGTGGGCTCACTTCAAGCACTGTCAACAGCATTTATCCTCATGATGTTGATTGTTTTAATGATTACATGGACTGTGTCTGGAAAGAGTTTTTTACTGTACTCTATCGGGTGTCGTGTTACGTATTTAATGAAAACACTGAGGTGCGAGGTAAGAGACATCGATCGAGTAGGCAGGGAGAATGAAAGACAAATGACAAGAAAGAGACAGATTAATTAATGCGAAAGAAAGAGAAAAGTAGGTAATTTAATATGCGAGCATAGATACTAAAACACTAGCAATACACGAAACAATTCGTAATAAGTAATTAAAAATCAAGCATTAGTGCCCCGAGCGGAATTTGAAGCTGCGCTCCGAGTCTTCAAGCTGTGCAAGACCGCACACACCCCAGACAGAGCGGCTGCCTGTAAGCCAAAATACATAAAATAAATAATTACATACATGCTTTGGAATTCGCGTAGCGGAATGTTCGTGTTTCCATTCTACAGTACAGGAGTCATTCCACAGATGGCAGCAGCCTTGTTGCTAACTCTCCCCCCACCCCATCCCCTCATACTCCTTCGCTTAATTTCTATTGGCCGACCGAAGCTGTGGTTGCTATTGGGTATCTAAAAGCGCGGTATTGGACGTACGTACAGTGGCGATACAGGTGCGGTGTTCAGTAGACCGGTTGCTGGCGGTGTGAAGTGAAGTGATTTGCGTATATGAGTGAAAGGCAGTTAGCGAAAAATAATAAAACCTGAGTGTTGTGTGGAGAGACGTTTAACGTTTTGTATCGGCATCTTATTTTTCTCTTTAAATAAATACACATATGTTACTAGTTATGGCGAACTGACAACAGTGAATTCGTTGTCAGCTGGAGGCTGGAGTGATACTGTCATCGTTATCATCGCGCTCTGGCTTGCCTGGAGATGATAATTTCCAAGGATCTGTTTCTGCTGGGTGACCAAGACTACCTCAGGCTCCCCAAGGACGACAAGCGAGCCATGGTCCGGCCCGTCCCCAAGATACAGAGGTCAGTGTGCGTTCGACTGTCATTTGTCACATTCTCATTCCAGTTCGGAGGGTCTAGTTCGCAGCGCGATGACAATTATGTTAGCCTGTTTAACACTTTTAAAAAAGTGGTAACTATATGTACCACCTACTTCAACATTAAAAAAACTCTAGATTTTGCATACAGCGTTTGTTTATGATTTCGTATGATTCTCAGAATAAACAGCGATTATTTTTTTAAACAGCGTTAACCAATTGATATTTTTAATGGAGACACAATGGTTTCTTTTTGGTACGGACTGAATTCTTAGTATTATAATGTTTTTGTTTTTTTTAGATTTGCTTTGTATTCGAAATGGTTAACGGAGTAAGTCAAACCAACCTATAAAATTTTGCGGGAGTAATCAAACAATGAGTGATGCGATGGGCGGGATGTGTAGCACGCATTGGGCAAAATAACACGGAAGGAAGAGACCACTTGGAAATCGTTGTTATACGTGGATAATATTATGTCGATGTGAATCTGATAGGAATAGGGTGTTCGGTTGTGGATTGGATATATCTGGCTCTTCGGCGGCTCGTGTGAAGACCTAACGAACAGTGTTGTGCCATAAATGGCGACACCCTGAGCTACTGTCAGTTTGTAAAGAAGGAATTAGCGCCACGGAGTTAATGCAATTACAGTAGTCTGCTGGTAAATATTTCAGCAATGCGAGCAAAAGGGGCATAAATAGGTGTTAGCTGTGTTGTAGGAATTCACCATACTGCAGTGTTTTGTGGTGTAGATGTAATGAGACTGTCGAATCGTATCCAGCGTCGAGTATTTTGCAGTTTATCCTGACGTATGGTTGCGAAGTTTTGCCCCATTTGACTGACTGGAACTTCTAAACAGACATTGGCCGACCGAAGCTGTGGTTGCTATTGGGTATCTAAAAGCGCGGTATTGGACGTACGTACAGTGGCGATACAGGTGCGGTGTTCAGTAGACCGGTTGCTGGCGGTGTGAAGTGAAGTGATTTGCGTATATGAGTGAAAGGCAGTTAGCGAAAAATAATAAAACCTGAGTGTTGTGTGGAGAGACGTTTAACGTTTTGTATCGGCATCTTATTTTTCTCTTTAAATAAATACACATATGTTACTAGTTATGGCGAACTGACAACAGTGAATTCGTTGTCAGCTGGAGGCTGGAGTGATACTGTCATCGTTATCATCGCGCTCTGGCTTGCCTGGAGATGATAATTTCCAAGGATCTGTTTCTGCTGGGTGACCAAGACTACCTCAGGCTCCCCAAGGACGACAAGCGAGCCATGGTCCGGCCCGTCCCCAAGATACAGAGGTCAGTGTGCGTTCGACTGTCATTTGTCACATTCTCATTCCAGTTCGGAGGGTCTAGTTCGCAGCGCGATGACAATTATGTTAGCCTGTTTAACACTTTTAAAAAAGTGGTAACTATATGTACCACCTACTTCAACATTAAAAAAACTCTAGATTTTGCATACAGCGTTTGTTTATGATTTCGTATGATTCTCAGAATAAACAGCGATTATTTTTTTAAACAGCGTTAACCAATTGATATTTTTAATGGAGACACAATGGTTTCTTTTTGGTACGGACTGAATTCTTAGTATTATAATGTTTTTGTTTTTTTTAGATTTGCTTTGTATTCGAAATGGTTAACGGAGTAAGTCAAACCAACCTATAAAATTTTGCGGGAGTAATCAAACAATGAGTGATGCGATGGGCGGGATGTGTAGCACGCATTGGGCAAAATAACACGGAAGGAAGAGACCACTTGGAAATCGTTGTTATACGTGGATAATATTATGTCGATGTGAATCTGATAGGAATAGGGTGTTCGGTTGTGGATTGGATATATCTGGCTCTTCGGCGGCTCGTGTGAAGACCTAACGAACAGTGTTGTGCCATAAATGGCGACACCCTGAGCTACTGTCAGTTTGTAAAGAAGGAATTAGCGCCACGGAGTTAATGCAATTACAGTAGTCTGCTGGTAAATATTTCAGCAATGCGAGCAAAAGGGGCATAAATAGGTGTTAGCTGTGTTGTAGGAATTCACCATACTGCAGTGTTTTGTGGTGTAGATGTAATGAGACTGTCGAATCGTATCCAGCGTCGAGTATTTTGCAGTTTATCCTGACGTATGGTTGCGAAGTTTTGCCCCATTTGACTGACTGGAACTTCTAAACAGACGGAACTGTTTTGTGTTACATTGGTATCACTTGGATTAAAGTAAAGCTCGTCTCTTGTAACAAGTGCTCCTCCAAATGACCCGCGTTAGCCTAATGCAGCTGTGTGTGTGTGCGTGCACGACGCATAAGGGTGCCTGCCCGCAGTTTTTCTGCCATCTCTGTTTTCACGGTGGAATCCATCTCTGTGGAGTACGCAGTCAGTCTGCAGAGCGATTAGCGCCTGAACGGATTTTGATTAAATTTGCTGTCGACGTTATATTACTGGAGACTGACCTAACCAGGTATCTTGCAATCCGTGATACCAACATGGCGTACGCACGAACTTGTGAGGTGGGACTAACACTGGCACCACTGAAGCATAGCGTCTTGAAATAATCTGTGGTAACATCTTCGACAAATACGCAGATTTTGTTGAGTTCTTTTGTGGACGTAAATGGGAGCTCCACGAAATGAACATTTAGCTTATGGCTCGCTGCAGACAGCCGATGAACTGCGTTAAGGACGACGTCAGATGTGAGTGGTTTCATGACCAGCTGACCGACTGTCAGCTTCCCAAGAAGGACGGGTTTATGTAAGTCGCTCCAACAAGACGAGGCGGAACTGACACAGTGGTGTAGAATTGCCTACGCCTGTGGGCAGCGCAGAACGACGGACACATTCAAGCACTCATTTGCATACTTGGCTAATCGTACTGCGCTGATAAGAGTTTGCTATCCTCCCTACCCATACAGCATGAAGCACAATTTTGATATGTCGATGTTTTTGAACACGAAATATGTACGTCACCAGTTAAGTAACCATTTTCTTTTTTTCAGTAAGACTCGGCCAGCAAGACAATGTAATTTTGTTACCAAAGTGAATCGTGCTTTTGAGCAAGGTTGGAGATGTTCTGTTATTCTCAGCTTCGCCGTGATTTGGCTCGTAAGGTGTTCTTCACGAATTAAGAACACCTCTTAGGTGTTTGACAGTGGTGTTTTTCACAACAGTGGAACCCCCTGCCCCATTGTTGGAACGCATTGTTGTGAAACAAAAGGATCCAACGGAACCCACCTTTCCGCAACAGTGACTTGGGATCTCATAAGTACAAGAATGACACAGGATGCAACTGTGTCATCAGATCGCATTAGTGCAACAACGGCCTACTTGATTCTGCGCGAATAACGCCTTTGGAATGTCAGTGTACCCCAAAGAATACACCTTTCCAGTTTTGTTCAAGAAACACTCTGCAATTTTCATGGATGTTCCCAGTCCCAGGAACATTCTGGGATACTAAGCTCAAATCTGCCACAGCCACTTCTATGCATATCCCTTCGGATTCTAAGTTTACTGCGGGCCTAACCCTACCTGTAGGAAATGTGTGGTGTACGTATTCGCTGTTTTGTGAAATATTGTATTTCATTATTTTTAGGCCTTTAAAGCACAGTGGTAACTATATGTACCGCCCGTTGTAACCATCGCAAACTTTGTCCATAGAGATCAGTGCTTTTCGTGTTTCTCACTGTAAGTAGAGATTATTTCTTTAAACAGCATTAACCAGTCGACCAGGTGAAATGTTTTCTTTGCGGTACGGACTGAAATTTTAAATATTACTTGGATGAGCTTCGGACTTTAAGGGGTTAAATAGACCTGTATATTGTTAATAGTGTTGATGTCTGAATGCTAGCAACTATTCCTAAAAGAAATTCAATTTATGCTGTCTGCATTCTTGTCTCATGTTTATTTTTCTGTCGTCATGTTTCACGTCCATATGTAGCTGTCTTACTTTCATTGTTTAATCCGTTTCATCTTATATCATGAAGTAAAGTAAAGTAAAGTAAAGTTTGTCCCACTATACGCCATGTAGGCGTTTGGGGTGAGTGGAGGTATAGCTCCTCTCTTCCTTGACCTCGACCTCGGCACTAGATGGGGGTGAGTGGTCAGCATC